TCCACCGGAGACAGCAGGGAAACGCTAAGATAAATGAGAGTATATTCAGCACTCAAGGTTTGTAATTTTCGGGAAGTGAAGAAAAGGGGAAAAAAAAGTAGGTTTTCAGCCTTTTATATATGTGTAATGGATAAACCCTCACCATTGGATCTTCCTCCACTTCATCCACCTGTGGTCTCATCTGTCACGTTAAAACCAAAGGGCACTTGCTAAAAATTCAAATCAAGGGCCCGGATAAAATCGTGATGAACACTCACCATAGATTTGCATAAGCCCCGCCACATGTGAAATATCATCATCATTGCGCATTAAATGCACACGTAGCTCGAGCTTTGGAAATTGCCATACCACCCAACTTTTTTTTATTGGGAATTAACGTGCCATTCCAATCATTAGAGCATGCCACCGGCAAGCTTCAGCTACTGAAGAATGTCCCCAAAGGATTCGCTTTGGAACATTAAGTTTTGTTACAGGCTTCAGTTACTACAGATGCTCGACATATGCTCCAAGGGCCTCGCTTCGCAACCTCTAGCCTTATCATAGGCTTCAGTTATTATTAGGGGTGTCCAAAAGTCTCGAACCGAATCGGACCAGAACCTAATCGAGCGGTTCTTCATAAATTAAATACTCGAACGGGTACCCGAATCGAGAACCGATGGGTTTGGGTCGGGTCTCCACCCAACTTTTTTTATTGGGAATTAACGTGCCATTCCAATCATTAGAGCATGCCACCGGCAAGCTTCAGCTACTGAAGAATGTCCCCAAAGGATTCGCTTTGGAACATTAAGTTTTGTTACAGGCTTCAGTTACTACAGATGCTCGACATATGCTCCAAGGGCCTCGCTTCGCAACCTCTAGCCTTATCATAGGCTTCAGTTATTATTAGGGGTGTCCAAAAGTCTCGAACCGAATCGGACCAGAACCTAATCGAGCGGTTCTTCATAAATTATATACCCGAACGGGTACCCGAATCGAGAACCGATGGGTTTGGGTCGGGTCTCGGGTCTACACCAAAAACCAAAGAACCAAATAAGAACCGAAACTAAATAATTTTTTTATTTTTTATATTGAATTAATTAAAATATTTTATTTTCTTCTATACAAATTAGCAAATTAATTAAATTAATTAGATTATTTCATAATTTTAATTTTAAAGCCCAAATCATTTTTAAAATCCATTAGTCCATTTTAATTTGAAGCAAGTGAATATACTTTATGTAGTTTTGCTGTAATATTAATATCTACTTTTTGGTATTTGTATGTATTGAATTAATCTTATTGGACGGCTAGTTATATATATGTTTTGGAATTGGGATACGTTAATTTGTAAAAGCTATGAATGAAATATCATTAGTTGTATTTATGTAGTGTTACTGAAAATATTAAAAATTTTAATTATAGTACGGAACCGAACAGAACCGAACCCAAACGGTTCCATAATTATATTTGGACCCGACGGGTCCATTTATTAAATACCCGAAAGTTTTGGGTCGGTTCGGATCTCTTCAGAACCGAACTGAACCGACCCACAGACGCCCTAGTTACTATAGATGCTCGACATATGCTCCAAGTGCCTCGTTTCATATCTTCTAGCCTTATTACTGGAGTCAGCTACTATAGAGGCTCGACATATGCTCCAAGGGTCTCGTCTCACATCTTCTAACCTTATCACAAGCTTCAGTTACTACAAAGGCTTGACGTATGCTCCAAGGGTCTCGCCTCGTAACCTCTAGCCTTATCACTGGCTTCAGATACTAAAAAGGCTCTACATATGCCCCAAGGTGCTCATCTCGCATCTTCTAACTTTCATCACAGGCTTCAGATACTAAAGAGGCTCAACATAAGCTCCAAGGGCCTCGTCTCGCATCTTTTAATCTCCTCACGGGCTTCGGCTATTAATGAGGCTCAACACATGATCCAAGTTTTTCTACCAACTCGAAAGTCCATACATTATATGAATAATCATACCTGGACTTTGGGGAGTGTTGTTACGCCATGAAAGCTAAGACTCATGAAGGGGCCCAAATGGCCCACGTGGCAAATAATTCGGGGGCCCATGCCTCATACGCTGGCATAGGGCGGCCCAGATGCATGCGGGCGAATCGATCCACGTGCGAGCGACCGACTCTCCCACATAAAGCACTTGAACAAACCCCTTTATAGGCAAGCCCCATTGACAGAGCTGACCAAGACGAGGCAGTGGCAAGATCTCGAATGGATCCCACACGATATGAGTTGACGAGACAAATCATTGCCATTGTCCCCGCCACCATCCTGTTGTACATGCTTGGCTTTAAAGACACAAAAAGAGTGATAGCATTTAAGGCAATGATTGATTGATGTATTTGATAAGAAATGGAAATCGTTCGGATAAGGCCACGTGTGCTACCATCCAGTGGACTCCATTCATTTCATCCAAGTATGAAAGCTCAAACTTAGTGTCATTCGAAGGTAATGCAAGTTTAGACTCTCGAAGCTATATTCTTGCTACATACATTTTTCGTTATCTACTCCCAAACCGACCCCCTTCTTATTGATTGGATGCTCGCGTTCAAAGCTCTCCCACACCCTAAATTATTTTCCTAACTTACTTGACAATCAGAGTGCGCGTGGCTAACTCCATATCTTTCGGAGGAGGCCACATGTGGCTAATGGTTTGTCCAAATATACAAGAATTCAGCTTGAGTGGACGTGAGAGACCTTAGAATTTGTTGGCCACATCACTGGTATATTTTTTGGGTCAACAGAACCTATTAAAATCCATATTTAGGACACTTCGATTTTCAAGGATTCTATTCAAATTTTCTTTAAGGAGTCTCAATTTAAATGTACTTTCAAAATTCATTGAAATTTCAGATCTGGATGAACCCCTAATTTTGGAAATTATATAAAAGGAAGAAATGTCTCTATAATTACTATAAACTTCAGCAAAGATTTATGTAATTTACTATATAAGAGAGCTTTCACGACCAAGGAAAACACGTGAGACTACTCAACTAATTATGTCACGAAATACGAACAATTATGGATCAAAATCCTAAGATTTCAGGATCTTCGTCTGATGGACTTTTTATTGATTTTGACCATTGGATCGCTCTATGAATGGACTATGCCGAAGCCGAATATGATGGATAGGACATTTCACAATACTTCTTACTGAAAATATATATAGAAAAAGAAGAAGCCAAAAGACGTGGGAATTTGCCATAAACACGTTACATCGTTCATACCAATTGCAGGATCAACATAGAAATTTATCTTTGACCTCATTTTCCCTAATCAAAAAGGCAAAGAGAAAATTCCATAAGAAAGATGATTAACCTCGAAAGAGAAAACAATAATAATAATAATAATAATAATAATAATAATAATAATAACAACAACATTATTTTTTGATTAGTTTTTACTCTTTTCTTTTTACGTCCATTCCACGTTATTTCAATATTGATACCCGACTTTTATCTCTCATTTTTTATCCTAGTTAAGAAATGTCTTAAAACTGTTAGGTATATAGTATATACTTCGAAATTTTTGAAATCTTTAATCTTGAGAGTTCATTGGTTTGTAACTTCAATAAAAAACAATTTTTCAAATTTAAACATTCACACAGCAACAAGACCCCCGCCCCCATGGGCGGACCCAGGGGGGGGCCTGGGGGGGGCGGGTGCCCCCCCCCCCCCCCAACTTTTGAGATTTATTTTATTTTATTTTATTTTAAATCATGTTTGGTATTGATTGAAATCTAAATTTTAATCTAAATCAAAGTTAACAATTAATTTTAATAAAATTTTTCACGGAATCCATAACTGTTTAACTTTTATCAAAATTGACAAAAATTTTGATTTTAATCTCCACCAAATAGGGACAAAATCACAATAAATTTAAATTTCGATAACATGCTAATTTTAAAAATTCTTCGGCGATCATACGCTAATCGAATCTACAAATTACTTATGTCATCTTAAAACTTATTTTGAGAACTACATTATGGGCATATCGAATAGTCCAAACAGATATCGAAAATAGTTAAAAATACGTTAAAAGTGAGTATAAAAAAAAAACTTCTAACTCGCATTTTTTTTTAAAAAAATCAATTATTTCATTAGTATTTTTTATTTTTGCGATATAAATTCCTCAATATAATTTTCAACATTTTGGGTGTGTTTGATAGATATTATTTTGGAAGAATATATTTTAGAATAGTAGATTGATGGAGAATGTGTAGTTGAAAACGAAGGAAAAATTATTGATGTGATGGAAAATATTATTTTATTGAAGAATGTGTGGTTGAAAATGAGTAGAATAATGAGAATGAAAATTTTAATGTGTACCAAACAGGGGCTTTATATGGAATATGAAATCAAAAATTTTCAAAATTTTACATCCGAAAAATCATATTGCATGTAAATTTTCGGATATAAAATTACATAGGGTATGATTTTTTTGGACGTAAATTTTCGATTTTAAAATTTCTCCCAACTTCTTTGCAAGTTCGATTGCGCTTCCCTAACTTTTAAAGTCTGCGTTCGTCCCTTCACAACAACAATGCATGTTTTCACCAGTGATTTTCCTCTCTCTGAAGGTTAATATTTACGTAAATTTAATATCTTGATTTTTGAATAATGTTGTTTTGAAGGGGGCTTCAAAAGGAAAACGAATCCTCATTATGTATACAATTCATTTGTAGAGTAGTTAAAGATACATACATGAATTAACGAATTCTTTCATGAATTGAAGTTAATTATGTATACTCATTATGTATTTTCAACTGGATTCTTTCACTGATGCATAAATTATATTCCGTAAACTGTGGAACATAGACTCAGTTTCAATAAATGCTTTGATTTTGAATTAGATTAACTGATCATGGCACTTTGTTATGGAAGTTTCAAATGATATTTTATGAACATAATATGATGCTTGTAGGCAATAATATCTTATTTATTACTTATCTAATAAGATGATGGAAGAGGCTAAAAAACCCGAGAAACATGATCGGTTCAGTTCCAGTGGAGAATAATATGAACAAAACAATACAGCGCCAAGGAGAATGGGTAGAGGAAAAATGCTAATAAACAAGTCCAGTAAGGATAACTTGTACTTGAGCACCCCAAAATCCCTATTACGGCACAGACCACCAAAATAGTTAGCACTTCTGCTGAATAATCCCATGGCAAGTCCTTCGCGTATACAACTGCTAACAGTATTGTCAAACCCGAGATGTTGTTCATTACGACGCTACTATAGATCTGAAAGTCAAATGAAAAAGGTTTCATCAACGAGTCCTTCACAATTCTTTGTTAACGCTCTACTATAAATTATAATGTGTACATGTGCGCATGCTTGTGTTTATGAGAGAGAGAGAGAGAGAGAGAGAGAGAGAGAGAGAGAGACCTCGGAGAATGTTAAAGATGCCGTTTTTTCAGTCTTTTTACTGACTGGAAATATAGCTTCTATTAAGGTTCTTGCATTCATTGCCAATGGCACTATCACAAATGAGATGGAGAAAGAAGGCACACTCATGGCATATGATAGCTGTAGGATACTTGTCGTGAGAGGTCCTCCAATGAAGGTCAATATAACAATACCCAACACTATTCGAAATACACATTTTACAAAATTCCAGAAAGAGTGTCCATAAACGAATTTATCCCATACAATCTGCAAGTTAAGGGAGGAGAGAAAAAAAATGGATTTGTTAATTTCCTATGAAATCAGTAATTTGTACAGAACGTAACAAAAAGCTTCTGTAAAACGTTATAACAATTTCCTTCTCACCTTGTCAAACTTATCCACACTTTTAGTTTTATCAGAGCATTTAGCAACACGAATGGCCTTACCAAGCCAATTTTGTAGTCCGTTGACAAATTCTTCTTTTTCAATCATATTACTACCATCTTTATCGAAGTTGAAAAATATCTTGTTTACCACATCCTCAGATTTCGGGTGCAAATTTTCGAATTGGACTGTATTGATTATTTGCTCTAATTCATTTCTTGATATCTTGTTGTTATTGTCATTGTCATACTTTCTGAAGAGGCTGCCAGAATAAAAAGAAGATTGTGATGAATTTCTGTCAAACTGAGAAAAAAAAACAGGTAAATTATGATAAATTACGTGTTGATTCTCTCAATATTTGGTTTCCCATCTTCCTGGATAAGCGATCCTTCTAGGTGTTGGCTTTCAGCGTGCTTTAGAAATTTCGACATTATTGGATCAATTTCCAATTTCTCTTTTTCCATCTGACTGAACTGTTCAAAGTTCTGCAGCAGATCAACCCAAATAAGGAATATATTTATAAATAATTTCAAAAACTACTATGATGCATATTAGAAAAAGAAGTTACAAAAATGTGATAGGAATTTGAATACATTTATAGAAG